AAGGTCTCCTGTGCAGAATAAGGCACTTGGGTGATGAAACCACCAGCCTGTTCATCTGTGTATTTTAGGCTCCGATCAAGGTCGGGCAAAAAAAGCGCTGAACTCAAACCATGTAAAAAAGACACCAAGAATCAAAATCATACCATAACGTGAATTTCCTACTTACTAGACGCACACGATGGTTTGAAGATATTCGGGCAAAGGTGGCATAGATGGGGCCACGGGGTGAGACAGATCAGACCGCTGCTAGCCCCTGGAAGAGAGCCAGCCCAGCAAGACGGACGGATGGATTTAGAAGACCGCGTAGACTGTGCAGAGGAAAATGCTAGAAGACCTGAGAGCCTAAAACATAGTCTTGGATGGCTTGAGGGGAGAGGAAAGAAAAGAAATTTCTGCCTCCTGCCAGCCCCGCACAATACAATTCCCAAACACTCCCAGAGTTTCCCAGCCAGAGAAGCCACAAACTCACAGGTGCAAACAGACCTTTCCCCTCACGTGTCCTCCCTTCCACTCTGGAGAGGGGTCTCGCATAGTAGTATGATTATGTTAAATAGTCTTCGTAAGACAGGCCAACAACATTAAGTGACAAAATGAGTCTCATTCTTTATATATATATAGAGAGGGGGGGGGGGGGATATATATATATATATATATATATATATATATATATATATGACCACTCCATATGAAGAGGTAAAAATGCTAACACTCTAGAACTGTCTACATTACTTATATTTAACCACAAAATCTGCTCTCTTATACCTGCCATGATGAAAATGGAATAGGTAAAGGTCTATGTGTTCAGCTGAATAATGGCCCCCCAAAGATGCCCACATCCTAAAGCTTGGAAGCCATGAACAGGTTCCCTTCCACTCAGAAAGAACTTTCTAACACGTGATTAAGAAAGGATCTCGGGATGTGGAGATCATCTCGAATCATCTCGGTGGGTTCAATGTAATCACAAGAGTCCTTTTCTTGTAAGAAGAAGACAAAACTTCAGAGAAGGCGACGTGACCACAGAGGGAAGGAGAAGGGGAAAGGCAGTGTGAGGGGAAGCCATGATCTGAGAACGAGAACAGCCCTACAAGCTCTCACAGGCAAGGAAACGGATTCTCCCCTTGAGCCACTGGAAGGAATCAGGCCCGCTTACACCTTCGCTTTAGCCCAGTCAGACTGATTTTACAGTGCTGACTTCTGGAACTGTGAAATAAGAATGGATGTTGTTGTAAGCCTCTAGGTTTGTGGTAACTTGCTATGCCAACAGTAGGGAACTAACGCAGATCTAACCAATAAATACTAATTACAGGAGAATAATTAGGAAACTGCTCTCTGTGATCTATCCTTTACACTGTATTTTATGGACAGGTATTTTTTCAGCAATCAAATCCTAACTGCCCCATCAGAAGTTCTCAAGTTTATTACACAAAGACAGAAATTTAAATTACTTTATAGTGCAAGTATGCGTGCACTGATTTTGAAATTGGAAGGCGGAAAAAATGACAAAAAATGACATGTCTCTTCCTGGGTATCTTTGTGTCTCCCAAGAGGTGACGGTTACAGTGCACTTAAGACTGGACTTGAGCCACTGACTTCGGCAGTGACTGTGTTAGTTATCCGTGAGTGTCCCGCCAGCGCTGAGTGCCCTGCTCTGTACAATACTCGTTGGTGTTCCATCGATGTTTGCCAAATAAATAAATGACTGAAGAAATGAAAAGGTGAATGAGGAAAACTTACATCCTTAGTCAGGTTTTTACATTTGACCATTTAGATGGAGTTTTATTCTAAATTAATCTAGAAGGACCTGGTGCTAGAACAAAAATAAACAGCTTACTTAAGAAAAAGGGGGATTTCTTTTTTTTTAAAGGCCACCAAAGGTGAAACTAAAAATGTGAATAAGCCATAAGAGATTTTTCCACTTTTGGTTAGGATGCAAAATGTCACAGAAAACCATTGGTCCCACAGTAATGATGAGACACAATAAATTTAGTAATCTTGTTGTGCAAGACATTGAGGAGACCTGGATACAAGTCTAATTGAGTGGAATTCCAGAGGGAGATGAGCCTTTCTGGGGCAGACAGGCACTGATGGGTGCTTTCACGACCACCCCCCCCACCCCCCGCCGCCACACACACACCCCGTTCCAGGCATGAGTAGCCGGAAGAGCTAGCCTGGTCTTGGTGAAGAAACTTGGCTGCAACAAGGAGAGTGACTAGTATGGCGGACTGGGAGGTGGAGGAACGGCAAGCCCCCACACAGCGAGGTCCCATGGCCAGCCAGTGTCCCTTCATCATACCTTCGCCTGGCAAACAAGCACTGCTGGGTGAAGAAGCTGGCAAGTGGGTGGGAAGGAGAGAGACGGAATCTCACATGCACACATCCCAGACTCTGCTGTGAAGCCAGATCTTACAATCAACGGGAAATCACAGGTGAAATCCAGAATCCAGTTTGACCCCCGATTAGAACAAAGAGATCTCATTTAGTCACCTTAGCTACCTGACAGGGAAAAGGACAAGGCTTTGTGAGGACAGATACTACCTGCTTCAGCTGCTTTGTTCTTTTATACACAATATAAAAGTGAGGTCAGTGGAAAAGCAGGAAAAATGTGACCATAACAAAGAAGAAAAAAAGAATAAAAGGAGAACAACAGATAACAAAATGATTGGAATCGACAGACAGGACTTAAAAACAACTATTACGAAGATGTTAAAGAATTTAAGGGAAAATGTACAAAACGGGTGAAAAGATGATGAATTCACCAGAGTGATGAAAACTCTAAAAAGGAAGCAGATAGAAATTGTAGAACTGTTAAGTACAATATGAATTCATTGGCAGGGCTTAATGGTTAAATGAACAAAACAGAAAAGGTTAGTAAACCCAAAGATAAGAGAATAAAAACTATCCAAAATAAAGCACTGAGCTAAAAAAAAAATGTGAGAATCAGAGTAGTATGGCATAATTTCAAATTGTCTGATATACACGCAGTTGTAGCCTGAAAAGAAAAGGGAAGAACAGAGTAGAATCATTGGAAGAGATAGTAGGTGAGGGTTTCAAGGGTGGTTGAAAGACATTAATCCCACCCAATGAAACCCTAAGCTGGAAACAAGAAAATCACACATAGGTCAAACCACTGAAAACCGGAGTACAAAGACAAAGGCAATGAAATGACATGTTTCAAGAGCTGAACGGAATCCACACATTCACTCACACAAACATACACACACATACGCATACACATCACATACACACCTACACATCCATACATGCACACACACATCCACATGCGTCTACACGTACACACATGTGCATACACAAACTGGCAACCTAGATATCTGTATTCGTAGAAAATACCCTTAAAAGTTAAGGGTGAAACAAAGGCATTTTCAGGCAAGCAAACTGTGAACATTCATGCTGCATTACGGGAAAATATTAAAGGAAGTTCTCCAGGCCGAAGGAAATGATCACAGAGCAAAACCAAGATCAGCAGAAAGGAATGATGATCAGTGGGGTAAATATCAAAGGAGATATAAAACAACACAGCTTCAAGTCTTTTTAAATAGACAACTGGCCATGTGAGGCAAGAGAGTGATATACTGTGGGGTTATAATACATGGAGAAATAAAATAACAATAGTAATATTAAGTTCAAGAGGAGTAAAGAAAACTACACTACTGAAGGATGTTAAATGTATCATGAAGTTGTGTAACGTGTAACAGACACCATGGTAAGGGGTGATGGATTAATTATGCATGTTGTAATCTAGAATAGCTACTAAACAATACAAAATGGTGAGGCACCTAGGTGGCTCAGTCGGTTGAGTGACAGATTCTTAATTTCGGCTCAGGTCATGATCCAGGGTCCAGGGAGCTCGTGCTCACTCTCTCTCTCTAAAATAATAAATAAATCTCTTAAAAAATACAAAATGGTGACACTGAGCAGTAACAGGGATAATAAAATGGAATAAAAGAACAAACATACCAAAAAACACAAAACCTCAGTTTCCAAGTGAAGAAAGAACGAAGAGAAGGGGGAAATGGGGAAGAAATAAAAAAATGACAGAATTAAGCCCAAGAATCTCCCATGTAATTATAGTAACTGTAAGAGGTAGTCAACACTCCAGTTAAATCCGGGCTTAAATAAAAAGACCCAACTCTGGGCAGTTTATAAGAAGCACACATAATATAAGGACCTAGAGTGAAAATGAAATAAGGGGGGTGCCTGGGTGGCTCAGTGGGTTAAAGCCTCTGCCTTCAGCTCAGGTCATGATCCCAGGGTCCTGGGATCGAGCCCTGCATTGGGCTCTCTGCTCAGCACAGAGCCTGCTTCCCTTCCTCTCTCTCTGCCTGCCTCTCTGTTTACTTGTGATCTTCGTCTGTCAAATAAATAAATAAAATCTTAAAAAAAGAAAAAAGAAAAAAGAAAATGAAGTAAGGAAAACACACTGCAAATACTAATCATAAGAAAGCCAATGTGTCTACATTAGTATCAGAAAAACTAAACCTTAAATATATTATCAGTGATGGCCATTTCATAACAATAAAATGGTAATTAACAAAGCCCAAAGTTAGTTCTCTGCTCAGACTAAAAGCTTGATAAATCTCTTATTTTTCTGCATGTTATTTCTGACGGTTTATGAACTCCTGTGTCTTTATGGACCTCTATTTAAAACTTCTTTCCAAGGAATGCCTGGGTGGTTCAGTCAGTTAAGTGTCTCCCTTCAGCTCAGGTCATGATCCCAGGGTCCTGGGACTAAGTCCCATATCGGGCTCCCTGCTCAGAGGGGAGTCTGCTTCTCCCTGTCCCTCAATCCCTCTGCCCTGGTCATGTTCTCTCCTGCTCTCTTGCTCATGCTTTCTCTCTCAAATAAAAAAATCTTGTTAAAAAAACTTCTTTTCAAATACACATGACTTTTAAATTCCTCAAGTTCCTTTTCAGGCATATGACCACTTTGGTTCTTAAAAACTGTTGTTGTTATTATTATTATATTCTTTAAGTCACTTTACCTGGAATTTCACATGCTGGTTGATATCTGACACATGGAACTGCTTCAGGAAACGCTCATCCTCACTCCAGAAGAGGCGGATGTCAGGGATGTCATAGAGGATCATGGCCAGTCTTTCCAGTCCTAGACCAAAGGCCCAACCGATCCGATCATGAGCACCGGCTACAATTAGGAAAACAAAATGAAACTGATTTAGAAAATATAAAGACTTCACAGGTGAATGCTATTTGCTGATAAGTAACCAGTACTACTGGTTGAGCGCCTACTGGTGGCAAGCCACTGGGGAGGGGTTGTGGAGGCCTCCATGAGGGTCCCCGTCTTACGTTTCTCATGCTTTCCACATTCCTCACTCACTTACTGCACTGAAGCACTCTGGAGTCACGCTGTCTCTAATACTGCTTCACTCAGAATTATATTCCAGGCTCTTTAAAGCCCTGGTTTCTGCCTCTGAGTAATCCTTGTTTGCCCCGATTCGAACATTTACCCAACTATGTGCAGGTTACAGAGGAGAGAGAAAAGATGGTCTCTTGTCCCTACAAGGCTTACTAGACGGGCAGTTATGTTTGAAACATGCCAGAATGGACTGTTACTATTCAGAAAGAACCCTCAATTTCATTTAAAATAACCCTCACCCTTAGTAAGAGTTGCCTCAACAATACAGAGAGCAAGCAAGCCAAGGTGAAATGCATATCTAGTACCACTCACTCCAAAGGCAAGGTGTGTTGTTTACATTATGGCAACGCCATGAACTTGAAGGGCTTATTTCGCTTACCTGAAGCAGAGTAAGACCAAAGACAAACCACTGTGTGAAGAAGGAAAGGGAGCAATTCATACTCCCGAAAAAGCTTACAGAAAGGGCTCATGGAAAAGCTTACAGAAAGTTGAAATATAATTTCAGGGGACACTAAAGGTGAGTAGGATCCTGGGAAGGCTGCAAACAGCCTCAAGATTTCACTCCCAACATGCCTGCTCTATGTAAATCCCTCCCTCTGAGTGTGGGTGGCCCCAAGAACTGAATGATCAGGTGACTTTATATGCGGGTCCCTCTGAGCAAATCAGCTCACAGAAATGAGAAGGCCATGCGGCTAGGCCCTCAGGGAGGTCTCTAGAAGCTGGGGGAGGCCTTGGCCGTCAGCAAGAAATGGGACCTCCACTCTTACAATCTCAAGGAAATGAATTCTCCCAAGAGCATGAAAGAGCTTAGAAGAGGACCCCGAATTCCAGAAGAGGACATAGTCTTCTGACACCTTGATTCCCACCTATGAAGACTCAGAGCAGGGGACCCAGCACCTGGACTTCTGATGCAAGGAAATGTGACATAATAAATTTATGTTGTTTTAATCCATTGGTATGAGGTTAACTTGTTACCCAACAAAAGAAAACGACTACGCATCCAAAATGTGGAGAGAGGTAAAAGAAAATTCCAGACTGAAGGAATGTCTTTAATAAAAAAGGGTGACAGTGCAGCATGCAATGGTTAGGAGCAGTTTCCGGAAACACAGATGGTTCGAGGTTGAGGCAAGTAAGAGAGGAGAGGATCCATTTCTGCCCTGGTGTCCTACCTGGTGTCCTACCTACCTGGTGTCCTACCTAAAAAATAACAACAAAGATAAACATATAATTGAAGCCACGCAGGAGATGAACCTCTTCAAATGGTTTGTTTAAAAGCTGAATGAATTAAAATCGTCAAAATGAGATCACAAAAGCAAATGATACAGAGAGAAAGAACGGCTCAGTAGTGGGAGAGAAAGTGTATATGAAAGAAAAGAGAGTGGCTGGCTGATTGCACCTGTTCCTGAGTACGAATGAACACTCAGGTGAAGAGGAGGGGAGAGGGATATTTAACCACACAGTGAGGTCACAGAAAAGTGTGCACGGCCCCTGACCCTGTGATCAGGTGCCTAAAAGAGCAGCTGAAGTGTGAGGCAAAATATTTTAGAATAATTCATACTGATACATGAGGTCTTAAAAAAGGGTTGGTGACTAAAGACATGAAATTTAATATAATCATGATAGACTTTTTATATCTACTTAAAGAAGATTTTTTTGAAAATTACAGTCCTGGTGGTATGGTTCTAGCATATCCTGTCTGCATTGTGTGGTTTTAGTGTCCTCATCACTGCTGGTTACACTATATATTTTTACAACAATTTGGAAACAACATGGCAACACATATCAAGATCCTTAAAAATGTTCATACTCTATTCTTTTAACCCTATTCAGGAATTTATCTTAAGAAAATAATTCAACAAAAGAAAAACATAAATGAAAGAAGATACTCAGTGGTACAACTTATAAGAGCAAAAACATGGAAACAACCTGAGTGGCCCAAATTAGGGAATGGCTTAAAAATTATAGGATATTTTGATGTAGTCATTAAAAATCATAGCCATACAGATACATATTTATTAAGTGACAGACTATAAGAAATTATGAAGAAACCTATGATAACATGAATATGTCCTGTGATACTACTATTTAGGTACCAATGAGGATTGCACTGTGGCCATGTACTGTGATACTACTATATAGGTACAAATGAGGATTATACTGTGAAAAAATAAAAACAAAATGTGATGTTCAAGAATTATAATGGATAACAGTTTTAAAGCAACTTTAAAACATTTTCCTGGAATCTGTACAGTCTTCTCAGTAAAAAAGTAATAAAGATAGGTAGGAATGTTAATACTGCCTTGTGACTTAGGCTTTTTCCTTAATCTTTTAGATTCTATGATCAATTTTTTAGATATAACCAACCACCTAGAGCCTAAGAGCTGTAACTGAATGAGCCACAGATTAAGATTTTATTTAATATCTAGTATTTTTTTTTAGTATCTTAGCTTTTGCTCCTTTCACCTATCCCCAGTTAGTTCCCCATCTCCCAAAACATTTTCTAAAGCAAAACCAAGAATAACAAAGAGCTCTAAAAGTAGGTAAGAAAAAAAGCAGCAATCTAATTAAAAAAAAAAAAAGATTTATTTATCTGAGAGCAAGAGGGCGTGGGGGGAGGGGCAGAGGGAGAGAGAGAACGTCCAGCAGACTCCACACTGAGCATGGAGCGCCAAATGCTCCACTGACTGAGCCACCCAGGTGCCCGAACAATCTAAATTTTTAAATGGATGAAAACTATGAAGACATTCATAGAAACGGAAAGAAAAATTACCTTTAAGCAAATAAAAAGTTTAGTTAAGAAAAATGCAAAAAAAAAAAAAAAGTAAAAGGTAAAAAATATTTTACGTATCAGATTAGCTAAATAAATACATGTGTTCCCATACTTGATAGCAAAGCCAAGGGAACACAAGCACTCTCTGCGTTAACTGGTAGGCTCACAACTGGGTTTTTAACCCACTGACCTAAGGAGAATATAGCAGTAGCTATCAAAGTTACAGATGCATATACCACCTTATTCTTCTAGCTACCGGAATGCATCCTACTTATGGGAAATTATGAATGTGTAAGGCCTCTTGCTGGGGTATTGCTTATAAAAGCAAAAGACTGCAAACAACCCAGGGTCCATCACTCAGGAACTGATTAAATAAACTAGGCTATGTCCACACAATGGCATATTATAAAAAAATCTCTGAAAGATTTCAAAAACTCAAAGCAGCAGCTGCCTGACTTTGTTTTCTTTTGTTTCTTAATTTGGGGGAGGGTGGGAAAGAACTGGGCAACTGGAGGAGAGAGATGGGGAGACCTCACACTACGTGCCTCCTCAAAGAGTGACAAGAAATATTTCAGACAACAGAGATTTTTGTTACTAGGTAAAATATAGCAATGTCTTTTCTGTTAATTTTTAAGAGGTTATAAGAACAAAGTATTTCTCTTGTGTCACACTGGGGCTAAACTTTCAGGATAATCATGATTAGTAAAAATGGATTTCTATGTCCACCTTTTATAGCCAGGATTGGTCTCTTTCGTTCTCTAACACCATTTCCAAACCATCCCCACTATGTGCTGTCCAAATTTGTGATCACAGAATAATAAAATGGTGGCTCTCTTATGCCATTAACTTTGAAGTAGTTTGTTATTCAACAAGGGCTAACCAGACATTGTTAAAACATCTGGGTTTGCCTTTTATTGTAAACATTTCCCATTATGGAAACGCAAATAAAGACTAGATGGGGTTTCACTTAGGAGAGATCAGGAATTAAGCTTAAAATAAGATGAGTCCCCTATATTCTAGCACCCTGTATATGCCATAGTATCAATTATGTCATAATATCACATCCATCCTAAAGCCATGCCATCCCACATTAATCGCATTGCTCATCCTACATATAGAGCAAACAGTCCTAAGCCAAAGCTATGTAATACTCCTTCTCCCAACCAACTACTGTTTTTCATCTGATTTTTCTACTTTACGATGAGTGGAATCATCTTCCATCTAGTTATTCAAGGTAGAAACCTGGGAGTAAATTTTAACTCTAACATTACCTCATTTCAGATATAGACGTTTAAATTATATTTAAAACCTCTCTCAAAACTATCCCTTCTTTCTAGTCTAATTGTCACTACAGATTTGCGCCTTCCATAAACATCTCTCACCTGGGCTCTTCCAAGAAACAACCAAATTGTCACCGTCTGTCTCCCTATTTGGTCCATCTGGGCTAGTGACACCAATTCTCTTTCTAAAACATAAATTTGGACACTGTCACCACTAGACATGTATAAGGGTAGAACAATGAATGAGTCATATTTGTTCTTAATTTTATTTTGCATTTATTCTCTTTCTAAAACACAAAAAGCAGCTGAAAATTGTCCCAGAGATCCCCATTCAGTCTATCTGAACTTGACTTCTCAGGAAACCTCAAGATTTGATGTGCAAGGTCCACAAAATGCTTCATTGTAAGTTAAATACTAGCATCTCTACCACTTGGCATCCAGGCAATCATAAAGACAAAGGGAAAAACAAGTATTCAGCGTGTTACAGACAGATTGAGAAGCACTGGTCTGAAAAAGTTGGAAGAACTTTCAAAAAAATTTCCACTACATCCCAGGTTGCTAATTTTGTCACATATAAAATTATGCACATGACACTGCTCAGCAACAGAGTTCATGGTCTTTTCAAATGCAGATGGGTCATTTGCCAACACAAATCTCAAAATACAAGGAACAACCCATCCCCAAGGTGAAAATAAATCAGAAGTTAACAGTATAAAACT